AAACTCTACTCAGAAATCAGGTTGCAGCATTTTGAAGCTAAGGTACTTACACTTGTAGTACGAAGCACTTGAACTGCAGATGAGACCCCCGCTGTAATAGAAAGAACCAACAGCAAGCTCGAAACACAAGCAATCGAAAATAATAACAATGAGCAAGCAAGAGAGCACCATAAGAATAAAGGCAACAACATACCAGCAGCAGCATTTATAATATTTGATGGCCTACTGAATAACATAGTACGGTATACATGATCAAAATCGGCATTTCTACGATTGACCGCCTCCAAGTGTGCAGCAAAATGACAATTCACGAAGCACATCACCCGACCATATACTCTCATCCTTAGTCCAACAGCTCCCTGAACACAGAACATCTTAAGTTTGTACCACATGTGCGAGAAGAGAATAACAATGTCGACCTATTCCATCGAAGAAATTCCAAGGTAGCTGCACAATATGTTACCTCTTGAGCTAATAATAATAATAATAATAGTAATAATAATAATATTATTATTATTACTATTATTATTATTATTATTAGCCACAGAGATTTGAATTTACAAACATTTCTAGTAAATTTTACAAGGATAAGATTCAGAGGTACTTTGAAGGGTAGATCTCCATATTCGCGAACTCCTGACTGCCAAAAACGTCTCCAGAAAGAGAACGACTTTAACTATCAATTAATGATAGAGGAAAAAAATTCCTAGGCAACGGTTGCCAAGACATTAACTATCAATTATTAAATAATTTTATTCCTTTTTTATTACTGAAAAATCTAAAAAAAGGAAGAAAAATATGGATAAATTAAAGCAATAAGAGAGGAGTATGGACCTCTTATCAAGTTAAATTGGCAAAGAGCAATACCTTATTTCCAATCGCTCGTCCCAGACCACAAGGAACTGCTGCAACATCCACATCCCCAACATGGCCCCGCATGTTGTTTCGAACCCTACAACATTGAGTTCTTAATGAAAGCTCGTGTAATTACTAAACAATGAAGGTCTTAAATGGTCAAAGAAAGATGGTACATTACTAAACAAGTTTGCAAGTAGAAGTAAATACTAACCACACAGAAATCAGCAACCCTGCCAACTGCCTGGAGCCAACACGTGAAAAGGTAGATCCCTCGTCCAGTGTCTTTCCAATCATATCTAGCCACCATTGCCCTGCAGAACTACCCTCAAGACCCATCTGCACGAAATGCGGGAGTACTTTTAAATGACTGAAATAGGAAAACAATAAACTAAATGATTCCTATGTAAAAGGAATGAGAGAGCAACAAAAGACGTCAGTATGTTCAAACCAGGCCTCAATTCAGCTGATTCATCCAACTTCTATTTTATTTGATCTCACATTTGAGGATGAGTAGCGTTATGGTGGTGATACAAGGTCAAAGTTAAAATAAAACTGACAAATATATTGATTGTACATATTGTACATACTTATGCCTCTAAAATCTGTTTGGAGTTATCATGAAGGCTAAATTTGCAAACGGCTATTTGAAAGGCTTCACTTACAAGTAAAGGATGCAAGTAAAAATGTTTGGTACTTTAAATAGGAAGCCTATGTAAACAGGTTGAAAACCTTGAGTGAACACCTGGGTGGGCTGGAGAGAGAGAGAAAGAGAGAGAGATAGAGAGAGAGAGAGAGAGAGAGAGAGAGAGAGAGTACAGTTTCTTTAGCAGCCGATACAGCAAGAAAACCAGCACCCATTTCCACCTCCTGCAACCCAACCACAATCACGTCAACATCCGCGGCCGACGAGCCAATCCACGAAACAAGTGAATCAGGTCCCGCCCTTCCCTGCCCGACATTCCACGTCCCAGCCAGAATCTTCAGGTTCTCGAGCCT